AGGCTGTATAGAGGCATACTGCTCTTGCTTTTGCATATAAAGTATCATGGTGATACTATAAGTGAAACTTGCTGCTAATTATGAATTTGGAATCTACAATGTAAAACAAGATGAAAAAGGACAATAACGCTTACTCTTACACTGACCACAACTCAGTGACCTGTGGAGCAGAGGTTATCGGAGAGACAGTCGACCATGTAAAAGGCCTGGATCAGAATCCCCTTTGAATTCTGATGGGTGTATGCCTTCACCCATGGAGAGGGATATATACCCGTGTGAATCAAAAAATTCACAAGTGATATTCAAGAAGAAAAAAGAAGTTTTGAGTTCTGGGGGATCTCGCTGGTTCTGTCCCCGCTCCCCGAGCGGATTCTCTGTACACTGTCCATTCACACACTGTCCAGTGCACACTGAGTGGGTCTTGAAGGCCCAGGTTTGCTCTGGCCAGCAGCCAGCAGTGTCCTGGCACCTGTAATCTGTGTTTGAGCACCACAGATCCCAGGCCCCCATCACAGGAGCCTTGGCCAGATCCCAAAGTGAAAAACAAAAAATGTTTAGTTCCACAAAATGTGGAAAAGCAAATAAATCCGTTTTGTCTATTTCTACTTCCCTGGACATGAATCTTTGGCTTGCCACTCCTGCACTGCTGTCCCAGGCTGCTGGCACGAAGCCTTGCTAGGCAGTGAGCGCCTTGCCAGGTGAGATGTGCTTCCTGGCACAGGCCACGCAGACTGCTTTGGCGGAGGTTCTGCCCAGAAAGGGCTAGGGAAACTAGCAATTTGTTATAATTCAGCAATAGGCTCTAAACACAGACTGGAGAATTAATGAATTAGCAAAGCCCGTTTGGACTGGAATATGATGCATAGAACTGTCAAATACTTCACACACAGAGGCCCTTAGTCTGATCATTCTAGTCCATTTCAACAGCAACCATTCTTGAAATAAAGTACGAATAAAGCATATCTTTGTACCACATATTGAATTATCCATATCAGGGATCTAATGAAAATGTTTCTGAGATTTTTATTAAAATGAAATCTAACCTGAAGAATGGTATAGTATTTTTCTTATGCACAGAACATCAATGCCAAAGGTAAGAGTCAACATACGCTCCTGGGATACAGAATGCGCCACGCCAGAGGCAGTTATTAAACCAGTGATAATTTTCATCACTTTTGCTTCCTTGTGAAACCTCTGGATCCTATGTCCTGGGAAGTCTGTTATGGATTAGACCACTTTGCATTCACATAACCCCTGTGCCTTCCTCTGAGGCATCTTACATTTAAGAGAAGAAAACGTCTACCTTCTTACAAGCAAACACTGACTTAAGCAGTTAGTGCCTTTCTGAATATTATTTTTTAAATGGTGCTTGAAGGCCCATTGTAGAAAATTTGTAAATACATAAGCACAAAAAGAATCAATCACAACCCTGTCTTCGATGCTACTACAATTTTGCTAGAAACATACTTTTTTTTGCACATGCATATATTTTATATTTGCATATGGCACCTATTTTACAAAACTGGCTGTGTTTAACCTACATCATATCTGTACCTGTGCACACACCTGCTTTTGTATTCTTTCTTCACTTCACTTTGTATTGTTTTTTTTTTTTAATTCACTACAAGTTTTTTAAAAACCTGATTTGACAAGGAGTAGAGATACCAGGGGATGGATGATATCTGAGCATCTTTGAAGCTGTAAACCTAGATCTCTCGAGAAGCTGCTAGCTGAGATAAATCACTTTGCAGCTTCCGAAGGTAACCTGCTGGTCTGGTTTTTGGCTAAGATGGGGCTGTCCCAGAGAGGCCTGGGACACATCTATTTCTCATGTTGCTGCAACCTATTAACATTGGTGAATCGGGGCTCTGTCTCTCACTCCAGGCAGCCAGACTTTAAGTCCTTTAGACGCCTGGACTCCTTTGTTGTAATGGCAGCCTGCTTTCCCCAAGTGCAAAGGACTGGAGGAAATCCCTAGGGTGAAGCACTTGTTTCCTGCAGAGACCTTAAGCTGGCTCAAATGTCAATCTTTGCCAGCAGGTGGCGCCATCTTGACTCTCTTCTCTCCCTAGGATGGACCACCCTGCTAGGAGGCCCCCTGGATTTGATGGCGCCTTCCTATCCTCCTTCTTCACATCTCCTCCCAAGTCCAGGCCTTTAGGATTCTATTCCCTTCCATCGGTCTTTAAAGGCAAAAGAGTTTTTATTTTCAACTGTCTTTAAATAAATTGAACTGGACAATACATACTCAAATGTCTTTAAAAAGAATGTTATCTGTTTACATCCTCATTAAGCTTGATACTTAAGTTTTGGGCACTTCAAAATTTCTGTGTTATAAAGAATCCAGTTAAAAAGCTTTTAAAAAACTATCACTTGGTTGAAACTGTAACTTTGAAACTTCCTTATAAACAACAGTGTTCCACTGTATTTAACTTAGAGTATTTTCAGCAAAACTCATTAAAGAAACCTTCTTTTGCCGGACTGGTGAGGCTCAGTGGTTGAGTGTCAACCTATGAGCCAGGAAGTTACAATTTGATTCCCAGTCAGGGCACATGTCCAGGTTGCAGGCTCGATCCCCATTGGACAGCCAATCAATGATTCTCTCCCATAATTGATACTTCTATCTCTCTTTCTCCCTCTCTTTTCCTCTCTGAAATCAATAAAAATATTTTAAAAACAGAAACCTTCTTTTTTTCTTAAAGAATACTGTAATAAAAAAATGGGACAAACGAACCATATAAATTTGTATTTAGACTGACAAAAATCATAAAATTGTATTAATTATGCCACTTTACTCAACTCAGGAAAGAGCTCGTTGATGTGATAAAACGGTGCAAAGGACAGCTTTCTAAGCCTAGAGAATTGCTCACCACAAGGTTTCAGGACGCAGCTAACAGCTTGAAAGTAGGGCTCTATTTCGGGGTGAAGCCCAGGAACGTTCTCTTCTGACCTCTGATTCCTCTGGACCCAGTGAACCCCTAATCTCACCTGTCACTTGAAAGACTTCAAAGCCAGGTGAGCGCACCTTGGCAACAGTGGAGAAAGGGGTCAGAGTTCAAGGCAAAGTCTTACTAAATGAAACACCAAGTGACAGGCACCAAGGACATCAGAAGGAAGCACTTTAGAATCCGAGCAACAGACTGGAGAGAAAGCCTTGTTGTCATCAGAATGACTTCAGTCTCAGTTTAAAGTGTTTTTAGTCAAGGCAAAAATCGTATTAAGGCGACTTCCCAAATATACCTTCTGAGGTTGCCCGGGCCTGTCCAGAGGTTCTGAGTCCTCAGGTGGTGTGAGAGCCCCAGGGGTTGTGATCTCTGGGGGGGATTAGGAAGAACCCTATTCCTGCCCACCTGCTGCTCTTCCTTGCAATCATTATAGAGCCGCTCCCTTTCCAGAATAAAGCAAGCAGGGCCTGGGCCCCATGGGATCACAGTGCCGAGAACCCATTATACCTGTGTAAGGCCAGGTTTACTTTACTTGAGATTGAAAATGTTCAGAAGCCACAATGGCCTGGCTCCCTTAAGTACCGGTTAGGAAAACTGAGGTCTCTGACATCACGTAGTATGTTCAATAAAGACCTGCTGGCTGGCCATTTTATTCCCTCAGTGGAATGGCTGTAAGGGGCTGAATTAAGAGCCAGGGCTCGATCCTCTTAAAAGGCTCCTCTGATGCAGGGCAAGGACAGAAGACTCTGGGCACTGACCCACAACAGGAGGAAACGCAGGGCTGGGAATTTAGTGCTCAGAGCAGAAGGTCATCATCAAAGAAGCAGCGCACATGTACCTCCTAAACTACAGGTGTGTTTACAGTGGAACGTACAGACCTGCCTGTGTAAGTATCTGGAGCAGCCCTCGGGGCCACGCACAGCTAGAGACCTGGGATCTACAGAAATGCTAATGCTGACGCATTCAAGTCAAACTTAGGAATTCTATTTAAAAACGCATTCCCAGCAATCCTTACTCTTAATAAAATAGTTCTTTTAACCCTTGCTCAAGGTGAAATGGTTTCTAAAATACTTTTAAAATGATGTGGCGTGATCTAAACATACTTAGCATGTTTCTTTTGAATTATTAACCTGTCAAGAGAGCGTGTTGTGGGCTCTGTTCCGTTTTCTCTGGCATCTGAGCCCAGGAACGGTCAGACCTTGGGTACAACCCTTAGACCTGGGAGATGACCACAGTGTCCAGGAGAAAGTTGGACAAGTGACCACAGTGTCCAGGGAAAGCTGGACACATGACCACAGTGCCAAGAGGAGATGGGGAAGCCCGGTGGCAGGGGTGTCTGGTCGGCAGCAGGATGGGCCCTTCTCCACATACTACTCCCTCACCTGGGGGGCTGGTAGGTGAGGGGTTCAGCCTCCCTGAGGCTCCCGGGGAAGGGAACAGAGGCTGTTCTTGGCCTTGACCTCACTACAGGGCAACCTACTCACAGGTAAAGGCTGCTCCATTTTGCAGAGGCCTCTCCAGCTCGGCAGCTTTCTGAATTCATGGGATCGACCCCCAAAGCCAAGCTTCTGATGTCATTCTGCTGGAAGGGCTGTGAGTCTCAGGCTGCCACCCCATTTCCAGAGTAAGATCACATGCCCTGACGTTTCAAAACGCTACAGGAAATGCATGCTGGATTTTCATGCATCTCTCTCCCTCAGCTTCTTTCCTTAGGCCACACCTATTCCCTGCCCCGGAACCACCCGAGAGGCACCTCACCTGGATCCCCCAGGGGCCTCTATAAATGTGGGAATCCACACATGGAAGAAGCAGCTCCTGGGTCTGACTTTAAGAGCTGGCACCCTACAGTCCTCCTTTTGAAATTTCCTATGTTGGCAGGACATGGGGGAGTCATTTAATGTGTCACTGTCTCAGCTGTGAAATTCCCACCGGAAAATTGTGGGATGCATTAGTGATGTTCCCGCACGTTGAAAGCCCTGCACCTATACACGCAGACGAAATATTAATGTAATTGGGGAAGGGAATAATTGCATGCAGCTGCGAGTCGCGCATCACCTGGTCCTGGGACTTCTTTTTCTTCTTCTTCTTTCCCCAGCACCCGGAGCTCTCCGCGTCTTTGCCACCGGCCTCCCCACAGAGCAGCCCGTCCAGCTCATCCGTGCCCATGTGCTGTCCCTGAGACGTTTCTGCCGCCAGCCGGTACGAGAGGTTCCTTAAAATGCACACACAGTTTTCAACGGTCTGCAGAACCCAGGAAAAAGGAAACAGAGGGATGAATAAAAACTAGCTAGCACTCCATCCAAAAAAGCCATCAGTCTCCACACACACATTTCTCTTTAGATGCATTTAGCTGTGGGCTCTTGAAGTTCCCTTGACAGCCACAACGGAAAGAATTTGAGAAGCTTAGAGAGGTCTTAAGACTTTTTCTCCCCACAAAGAAACTAGTTATCAAGAATAGTTACTTCCACAGTTAGCTGTCATTGATGACTGAAATTCACCTGCGAGTGGGAAAGAACCTACAATCACAAGAGGGCCCAAATGTTGTCCACTTAACAGCCATCTGGGGACTGGGGCTCAGAATCACCAAATGCACGGATGATCGGATTTCGGTCAGCTCTGGGAGGGTGACACCAGTATTTACCAGGGCACTTTCTGGGAGTAGGAGGGGGCAGGAGACGCAAATCAGAGTTGTCCCAGGCACACTAGGTGCTGTGGTAACCTGGGGGCATACATTTAGCAAGCTACTGATTTTTTCTGAGTTGGCCAGTGCTCCTATTTTCTTAGCAAAGGGGCTAAACAGCGGCTAAGGACACATGTTGCAGAGCTAGACCCTAGGTCTCTGAATACTGGCTGTTTGACTTGGACAAGGCACCCAGCATCTCCATGGCTCCATAACCTCCTCTGTAAGATGGTCATCATTATACCCACGCTTTAGTTTGCTGTGTGGATTAGGTGAGCTAGAGGATGTCAGTGAGGCAGGCAGAATAATGTCCTGCCAAGGTGTCCACATCTGAGTCTCTGGAGCCCGTGAATATGTTAGATTATGTGGAGTGGGGATTGAGGTTGCAAATGGAATGAGGTTGCCACTCAGATGACCTTGAGATGGGGAGATGATCCTGGGTTATCCAGGTGGACCTGTGTAAATCATGAGTCTCCTGTAGGTGAAAGAGGGAGGCAGAGGAGTTAGAGTGAACTGAGGTAAGAAGGACATGACCTGCCATTGCTGGCTGTAGAGATGGAAGAAGGGGCCAGGAGCCAAGGAATGCCTGCAGCCTCCAGAAGCTGTGAAAGGCCAGGAAACAGCTTCTTCCTGGAGCCTCCAGAAGGAGCACAGCCCTGTCCACACATTGATTTTAGCCCAAACAAGACCCATTTGGACTCCTGGCCTAAATGATAAGACAATACATTTGTGTTTTTAAGTTACTGTGTATGTGGCCATTTGTTACAGCAGCAACAGGAAACAGACCCGCTGTGTACATACTAAGGAGAGCGCCTGGCACACAGTAGAGGCTACACAAGGCCTCATGTCAAAAACAGTGGCGGAGACAGCACCTCGGGGAGGCCCAGGGCATATGACCTACAGCTGGTCCGTCTGCATCTGTGTCCTGGCTCTACCCTTTACGGGGCTGTGACCTTGCTGTATGCAGAGGGCTAAACCTCTCTGTGACTCTATTTCTCCCAAAGGCCCTACCACCAAATACCATGACATTGGAGATTAGGTTTCAATATATGAATTTGGTGAGGATACATTCAGCCCAAATATCAGTCTTTTGGCCTTCATTATGGATTTGAGGAACTGGGGCTAAGGGAAAAAATACCTAATGTAAAAGAAAAGAACAGAATAATAGTGGAAAAAATATAATCGAAGTAAGTGTTATCTCATTATTTTTCAGGCACCTACTATGTGATAGTCACAGTTCAGACAAAGAACCTAGTTCCATTGTACAGGTGAAGGGAACGAGATCTGAAGCTGTTACTAACTCACAGAGGACTGTGCACTTCTCTCTAGTTCTGGGTCAGGGCTGGAGGGGGGTCCCAGCACTTCTCCTGACTGCGCCTGACATTTGGGAAAAGGCAGGCTATGTCTTTGACTTGTCTGTGGAGGCATGGAAATCCACCAGGGAAACTGGTCTTCAGGATCTGTCTTTAGAGCCTTTGCCATTCTAGACCTTTCTTGTCAGCTTTTCAAGGTTTCATGGCTGCTAATCCCACAGGCTTTGAGCCAACTCGATTTTCCATTTCAAGCATCCTCTCAGCATAAAAAAAAAGGCACCAGCATGAAAGCAGGTAAACACAGGATGATGCATGAAAGAGAGGAGAGTCCCTCCCTGGAAGGAAAATGTTGCGGCATTAAGTCAGAATGATTTTCAAATCAGCTCAAACTGAGTTTTTCTTACATCAAAGACTTGGGAGAATAAACTTCTTTCTCATCCTCCTGTTCATCTTCCCCGGGGCATCTCTGGGCCTCTGTTTAACAAATGACAACTGGGGAATACATCTGCAGCAGTTTCGGGACATGCTTTATAATCGACCTGTGGCTGGGGGATGATTTGGGGAGAAGTGAACAGGAGAGAGAACCTGGGAGGGGGAGAGTGGGAGGGGAGAGAGGAGGTGGTGTAGAGAGAAGACTGGAGGGAGGGAGATCACAGGGACTGAATCCCTTTCTCTCTGTCTCTCTCCCTCCCTCTCCCATTAGGCTTGGTTCGGGAGGGTTACCAATTCAAGCACTGTTCTCTAAAGGGACAGCAAAAAGAAGACAGACAGCCACTGCCCTTCTCGGGGATGCCAGCAGAAGGCGAGTGGCAGCTGGTGGTTCTGCTTCTGACATCCATGCCTGTCAACAGTGCTTTTAGCAGTTCCTCGTGGTCACCAGGGTCACTTGACTCCTTATTTTCTATTAGAAAGGGCTAATTTGGAAGTTGTCCAGAGACTGCTCTACCATATGTTACCCATTCAACAAACTGTCCCAATTACAGGAGCCGGGCTGAGCGTGAGCGTGGAATCCAGGCTCTTGTATTCATTAATGTGACTGGCCGTAAAGAGAATGTATACTCATTTTTCCCCCCTTTCTAACTTGTCATTGTGGAAGCTTCCCCCCCCCCCCCCCCCCAGCATGCCCTGGTGCCAAGTCTAGTGCTCTTGCTACTTGATCAGGAACATCTGATTATTCAAATCTCAGGTAGTTTAATTGTCCCA